AAGGTAATCAATGAAGCTAGAAACAGGATTCTATTGCTAAAAGGAAAGCCCCAAAAAGGCTCTAAAACCAAGAGGAAAAGCTGGAAAACTTCTTGCCTGTCCTGTCATCAGCGTCTCTCTTTTTTTTTTTTTTTCCTTATTCCTGCAGTATTGTGTTGCTCACTCAGTTGCTGGAGTGCTGATGGTAATGACATATTAAAAAAAAAAAAAAGAGAGAGAAAGCTGAAGTTTGGATCTGATGAATGTTAGCACAGAAATCAACACTTCTGATTTTTTTTTTTTTTCTCTAACTGGAAGTTATAGACAACTTTAAATGGAAACAATTGAAATGTGATGTAGCTGAAACTTCTTTCATTCATTGCTTCCCAGATGGAACACTACACAGTGTCGTAGTGGCATGCTTCAATCTTCCTTTCAAATTATTTTTTAACATAAGTAGTGTGGAGAATCTCTGCTAACGTCAGAGTGGGAACATTGTGCACCCTGTCACAGCTTTGTTTTGATGTACAGAAAAAGAGTTTGCACTGAGAGCTCTGCTGGTGCTGCTACTACCCTTAGTGCTGGAAGAAGGTTTCTCCTCAGCTGACTTCTGCTGCTGCTTTTTGATAAATCACATTGGCTACTTCAGCACAGAAACCATTGGAAGAAAATATTTCAAATATGGGGAATGAAATGGCTAATGTGGTAGGCTTAGAGCACCCAAAGATGTTAGCTAGTTGTTAGCTTCCTCTCTCAACAGTGGCCTGATTTAATTTGAGCTATCCAATTCAGGTATTTATCTCTTGAAGTGCTTGCTTTTTTTTCTTTTTTTCTTTTGCTATGGAAAATATGACAGTGTTTAACAGGGATCCAGCTGAACTAGCAGTCCTGAGGCCTGAGATCACCAAGGGTATGGATATAGTGCCTGGCTGTGCAAGCATGCAGAGATGCTGTAGCTGAGCTGCTGGTGCAGCCATCCTGGTTCATCCTTTGTAGGATATGGTCACCTTGGTGAAAAGTGCCAGATGAGAGGGGTTTTGCAGCCTTCTACAGAAGTACATATGGACAGGGAAATGAGGGAGGAAAGGAAAATCACAGAAGGCTACCAGGAAAAGCAAGTGAGATGTTTTCTGTCCAGATATACATTTTGGCAATTAGCAACAGCCCTTTTGGAAAATAAACCCAGGTACTGACTGTGATAAATGCATGTTTTGAAACCCCCTTAGTTTAAATAAAACTTCTGTTAGTTTGCTTGTTTATTTGTTTGTTTTAATTAAAAATGTTATTATAAAGACAGTGAAGACTCAAGACTCTTGTTTGTCCTGTCTCTGGGATAAATATTAACATACTGTACCTTTGACATAGTAAAGGAATTGGGCTGGGAGAAGGAAAAGTGCCCAAAGTGAGACAAACTTCAACAGAAACTAGGCCTGCTCAAAATCCAGAGCACTCAAAAATTCATTGTGTCCTGTGTTTGCCTATCCTCCCTCTTTTGTTACTCATCTACAGCTCTACACTCCCCATTGATTTCCTTTTACCAACAATAACAGCTTTGGCATGGCAAAGCTGCCAGTGATGCACTAGGACTTCTTTAAAATAAATATATATTTTTTAAGATACTCTGAAAAGGCCATAAACTAAAGCTGACTCTTTCTCCATGCACTAAGCTCAGCCGCTGCTTTCCTTTCTGATCTAAACTGCAATAGGTGGTTGTCGTATCCTGAATGCTTCTCCACCTGGATCTGTCTGTGGTTTCTGTAATAAGTCAGGCATTCTTACCGAGAAATACAATATGCACATAAATCTGGTATGCTGTTCATTAGAGAAGGCTAAATCCTCTATCATCCATACCATGACAAAGTCTGAGTGGTTGCAGCAATGTTCCATCATAGATTGCATCTCTTGACTGTAATCACCACAAACTTTTCACTTTCTGGAATAAACAGTACAGCTGAAATGTGAAAATATTTCTGCAGACGCTGCAGTGTCACTGCAGTGAGAGAACAACGCTGCGTTATTGATTCCACTGAAATGCTTCTTGCAGAGCAAGCATCAAAGCAAGGCTGTTTTATCAGTTTACATTTTTTAAGCGGAGAGTTTATTTCTTGCGTAATCCTCCTCGAGGCGCTCTGGTGGCTGAGCAGAACCTCTGCCAGAAGCATCTGCTTCCTGGTCTGCAAATGTAATTTCTGCTCCCCTCCTTCCACTTCTGGCCTGGCTTCTTGAGTTCTCTCTCTGTGCTGTTGCTGAACCTGCTGGAGGTGTTTTTATTTTTAATGCAGAAAACATGGATTTAAGGGATTCCTGAGTTTAGACAAAAATGGTTGCTTTGCTGCTTTGAGATCATCCTCACTATGAAAGTGATCTGGAACAGCTTTCTTCCTGTGCAGAGGATCATGCTGGGGCCAAAGTCCTGTGTCCTGCTTGACTTTAGGACTGCTGCATTGCCCTTCAGCTGTCTGTTCACCAGTCCCTCTAGCTGCAGAGTAGCTTTGACAGAAGTGATCAGCTCAGGTATTAGAGGCAAGCTGGTTTTCACAGCCAGGTCTAACAGTAGGCAGAACGCTTTAATGCGGGACTGCTGCAGCATGACATCCTTCCAGGTCCCTCTCCTCCTCTTCTACAGTGTTTTAGATATGAAAGTCCTTTTTCTTTGTAAATATTCACAGATAATCACCTAAATATTTGGATGTTTGTCTTTTTATTTGTGGTAAAACCTGAGTGATGTGGACTGAAACATACTTATGTGATTGAGTAGTGTCCATTTCCTGTGCTCTCTTACCGCCTATGCCCTGGTTCTAAGACTGAGCTAAGATTCCCATTTAATATTTTAGATATTTTGTTTTACACCTGGTTAATTTAGTATGGCCCAGCAAATAATAGTTCCCAAGCTGAGAAATTATGTGGTATCTATGGCTACCCTTATTTCCTACCCCATGTTGAAAACATCTATTTTTGCTCTCTGTGGAAGTTTCAAGGAGAGAGAACTAGCGCAGCAATTCTTTTTCAGGACACTTTGTTCCTAAGTACAGGGAGTTGTAAAATTGCTGATAAAGAACTAGTTCATTCATAGCTTACGCCAGAAATGACTGCCTTCTGTCAAGGCATGGTCTTCATGAAAAAGAGCTGAGGATTGAGAAATGCAGAGTTGTCAGTTCTGACTCTTTCAGTTCAAGTGGATGCTCTTTTGCCTCGAAGCTCTATCTTCAATTATTTGCCTCAGAGAGGAATAGGCAGGTTTGGTCAAGGCTGGGCTTTGCTCACTGTTTTAGTCTTTAACAACACTTGCCCAGTGCCATTTCTCTGTTGTGGACTATAATGACCAGAAGTGAAAGGTTATTTTCTGAGCTATTGTAAATGGCTGACATTTCAGCTCCTGCTTTGTTACCGAAATGTTGTGAGAAATATTTTCTGAATGTATTTCTCAACAGCACAGTAATTCTGTATTTACTTCTCAAGATGCAAAAAGGTGTTTTAGGCCATGAAAGAAAATACTCTGAGACTGAAACATGATTCTTAGAAATAAACAGCCATGCTGGCTTTATGAGCTTAGCTTAAATCAAAGTAGGTTACAGGAGAGTGTACGTCTCTCTCTTCAGCAAAAAAATCATCTTGTATTTTTTGCATTCAGCATAGAGACAGAGATTCATTTTCTTGAAGAGCTTTCTATTTTGTATACTTAACATACTTGTGGAAAAACAAATTATCTAGGGGGTGGTCTTTGGTTTTGTTTCTATTTTCCTATCTTTGGTCCCACCCGATATCTCTGGAACATCAGGAGATATGTCATGACTTCAGGGAGGATGGTTTGTGGTTGTGTCTGGTTACAGTCACCTCTGGGAATCTAAACAACATTACAGGACATGGATTATTTGTAAAAAAAGGCATGTTGACCCAAGCTTCTGTCTTTTGTTACTGCTTCTGGTTTTATTTTTGTGGACATTTTTGAAGAAATTATCTTGACTATAAAATTGCTGTCTGCTTGGCTTGCGGCTTCTCTCTGAGACTTGCCATGAGGGGCATAATTAAATTGGCTGGAAGACCTGAAAAGGGCAGATGATGTGAGGAGGTACCCTGTTTGTCCAGGTCTCCTTTCCAGAGCCCTCTGTCCTCAAGGTATCAGCTAAGGTTGTGTGGAAGCAAGAGTTCCAATTGAACTGAAGCAATCAGTTCAATGCATAACCCTGAATGAATGCTGACTATTTCCTATTGACCTATATCTGCTGGGGGAGAGACCCTGGGGAACTTCTGGACAAAAGTCTCCCAAAACACTTGTTCTGGTAGTTTCCGTGGCTTTTTGGTAGGGCCCTAGCTAAGCTGTGAGAAAAATGCGCATCAGTGTTACGTTCCCACACATCTTCTCCCCTCTTTCTTTCTGACTTTGGTTTTAGATATGTTAGGAGCCGCTCTTCTTTAAGGTAAGGCAGATACCAAGAACAACAATCTTTCAGCCAGAGCAAACAAAATCATAGTCTTCCAACCAGGGTAGGGTTCTTGCTGTCTCAAAGATCAGATGCAACAGTTATATAGTCACCTCACTGTCTTTAGGAGTGAAAAATGACTGAAATTGTAATGGCTGCTTTGACTTGTGCCATGTTAATTTGGTAAACATGATTTATGTAAACTCTGCCAGGGGCTGTGCTTAACAGGATGTGATCTAGGAATTCAGTGTTTATATACAATAGCGCGTTGGTATATTTGTTCTGATTCTTTTTTTATTTAAGCATGAGCTTTAAAATACCTCACTTTTTAATTGACAACAAAAGTCTGTGCCTCTTTTTGTTACTGATACTGAGGAAGTAGAAGAGTTCTTGTGTCCTAAATCTACAAGAAGCTGTGCAATTCATCTTTGCCCCTCTGCGGGGTCTGAAGCTGAGCTCTGACCTAGCCTTCTCCTTTGCAGAGTTTTGCAATAGAAGTAGATGCGGAACAGCTAGACTCTGGAAGAGGAAATTCTCCTGTCACTAGCGAGCTCTGAGAGACTCTGGGTCCTCCTACAAGCTCCTACTGGGTCCCTTGAAGTTGGTTTACGCTTTTAGACATATCTAGTTATGTTGCAAAGAGGAAATGGCTCTTTACCCTTAACAATCCATGCAGATAAGGATCGCTAGCTGCCAGAGAACCTGTTTTTCTGAGTAGTGATGTAAAGCCAGCAGGACTGGTGACAAGGGCTTGCCTTTCCTAGGCAGGATTCATCCCAGCAGAGTGTGGTGCACAGCAGTCAACAGCTCAGACATTGCTGCAGCAGAATAACCACGAATCTGGGGTACTTCCCAGCCTGTGAGTACTGCAGAGTCTTTTTGTAGCTTCTAGCCATGGCTTTTGGGTGGGGTCACTAGACATGATGCGATTAATTTAATGGTAAAATTACAGTAGCAAGTGTGCATGCTTTACTCTGTTTGACAAAGTAATAGGAGCCTCGCTACTGCACAGGGAGTTGAAGCCCTCCTAGCTGTGCCTTGTGTGTGTTTTTAAAATAATTAAATTGCAGGGCTGGATTATTCCATAGAGATGATCTCTGCTCAGAAGGAAAATCAGGGCGTAATGTAAATATGTACAACTGTTGCAGTCACTGGGTTATGCTGATATAGATTTAAGCAGGGTGTGTACATGCAAAAAGAAAACAAGTGCGTCTAATCAAGTTCTATGTTTTTTCTTTATTATGCTGCTATTCAGTTGTATTGGCTTCAGCAGTAGGCTTCAACTTCTCTGTGTGTAACAACTTCAAACAGTGTGTGTTTGCAGTAGGTTTCAGCCAAGCAAGGCTTGCCACAACTCACAGCAGAATTTCTGTCACTGGGAGAAGCTGTTATATTCGCATAGGGAGAGATACTAAGTTAAAAGTCGGAGGTTTTATTTGTTCTCAAGTCAAGGGTGGAGGTTTTCAAAGCGGCACAGTGGACCAAACTTACTGTCCCCCATTACTGGCATGTGAAGTTGTTGAAAGCAGCTGAAGTACCAGAAGAGTTGGGAAATCTGCAGTCCATTGGCTGCACTAACAACACGGAGAAACATCTGCACTGCCAGCCTTCTCAGTTCTGCCTGCTACTGTTAATTATTTAGAGCAGAGCTAACACTGGAGCCTTTTTTTCTTCTCTTACATGCATAAACATTTTACTGGCAATTTATAAAGATAAGTGCATTTTAAGATGCAAGATTCGCTTTCAGAGACTTTCAGATATGAGTGAACACAAAATGATCTTGCTATTTCACCAATCAGTGTAAAATGCTGCCTGTGATTATTTTTAATAGAGATGTTAATCTCTTGAACTGCTTGAGAAAATGTTTCAAGTGCAACATATTGGTGCATTAAAATTAAAGTACTGAGCAGCACAATGTAGTGCCAATGTTAGCTTGCATGTTTGATGGCTACAGTGGGGATCAGGCTGGGGATAATACTGCTCATACGGTCTTTCAGCTCTTCCTTTTTTTTTTTATTCTTATTCCCAGAAAAAATACCAGGCATGCAGGAAACAGTATCATTTTCTCTCTCTCTCTCTTTTTTTTCTGGTTACAATAACATGTTTTACGTATTTATAGACTTTGTACAGTGGAAACTAAAAGCATTTGTCATAGACTGAAACATGCAATGAGTAATGTATTGCATCTCAAAGTAACAAGATGTTCTATAATTTCTAAAATGTTCCTAGTAAGTCATATATGGATGCATATCATTAATTAGAGGACAGGTCCCTCGGGGTTTTTAATCCAGGATTGGGTACTTCTTTTCTTTTTGCTTGGAACAATCCATTTGACTTTTCTCTTGAATTATTGTCTCTGTGTCACTTTATTCTCTGAGAGCAGTGCTGTAAGGACCACTTAGTGATAGTCTGTACAGTTAATTAAGGAGCAAAGGTTCCACAAAAGACAGGTGTTAGGTATTGCTGTTTGTATGTTGTGTGTATGAAATGCGTGCACCAGACAGGACTCCAGACCGTGAGTTGTGCTGAAGTGTCATCAGCCACACAACTTTTCCAGTCCCCCAGAACGGCACTCGAAGGTCAGGCTGAATCATTCCAGTAAAGCACTACCTTCACCAGGTTACAAATGCAGTCTGCTTAAAGCAAAGCATGTGATGAGAGATACAGTCACAGTTAGAAATGACAGCAAAAACCTTGGAAACTTCTTACTCAATTGCTCTGAGACTATATTTTAAAAGAATCTACTACAGTTCTCTCTGGTGTGCTCTGTTTTTTTGAAGCAGCAGCAATGAAACGGTGAGTCTGATTGCAATGAGCATCATGACAACAGTTTTCTATCTGAAGACCTAGCTCAGAGCTTGATCGTGCCAAAAGAGCAATGTTTTGAATGTCTCCAACTTTACTTATTGGTTTATAATAGCGTGCTGAATCTGTTGGATGAGCAAGGAGCTACAGCATCCCTCAGATTTGTTGATTAATAAAACGATGATCTGTGTTGTGAAAGGAAAAAAAAAAAAAAAAGAAAGGAGAGCCTTTCTCTAACTGCTTTTGATAATTGAAAGTTGGAGGCAGCATTACTGGCTGGAGTGTCCCCCTGAGGTGTCAATGAGAGAAAACAACATATTTCATACAGAAACTATGGTGCGAAATAACCATGGAAACAGTATCATTTGAGCCTGCCAGGTGGTGAAAACAAGATTTTGTCCTCCTCATCTCCCATTATCAGAGCTCCTGTGTGGTAGGAGGAAAGCGGGGACCAGGCAGCTGGACAGCAGCAGGGCATGAAGGAGCTCAGGTCTGTGGAGCAAGGGAAGGTCTCTGTGGTGTGTCCTACCTTCTGCATCCAGACTATGGCTTGGGCCAGGCCCTGAGGATCATGACAGTTTTTCCAGCAGTAGAAGGAGAATGTGTGATTGCGTGGCTGGGGGATGCTTAGTGCTCTTGATGTGCACTCTATCCTTGCAGGATGGCTTACTCAAAACCTATGGGAGCAAGTGCTGAAGGAGGAAAAACTCATCTGAATATCCTGGGCATTACTAGATAAGAAGGAGGGGACCCCATTGCTCATTTGCACTGTATTCCTAATAGAGTGTATAATCAGGAAACCTGAGGATCTCCTAACCCATCCACTGACAAAGAGCTCTCGGCCCCCTCATTAAAGTGATGGAATGAGAGCTGCAATCAATTATAGGAGAGCCAAAGGCGATGAAAATTAGTTCCACTGGGGATTTGTCTTCAAATTTTCTTTTGCCTGCAAAAATCAGATTACGACATAAAATCCCTGAGGAGAGAGGGGAATGAATCAGAGGAGACCAAGGCATTCATTTTATAGAAAAGAAACAATTGAAAAGGAAATAATGAAGGCACAGCCCTCCCCAGACACCGGACATCTGTCCAGTGCAATGGGAGATGGGAAGGACATGAAGAGGACCGAATATGTGCCAGCTGTAATACCAAGAGAGCTGAAGAATAGGAGGACACTTAAGAGGATGGACAGCAATGGTGCATGGAAGTGCATGTACCTTCAGAAAGTCATAGAGTTCAGGGGAAAAAAGCTAGAAGAGTTTGCTTAGAGAACCAGTCAGGTCTAGGTCAAATCACCAAAAGCAGACACTGGTGAGGTGGATCAGGATAACCTTGTTGCCAAAAGGAAGATTACCCAGCCAGAAGGGATAGTTTTGCTGCTCACACAGGTTCTTCTCCAAACAACAAACTTTCTCCTGTATTCAGTGAATAATGGTTCTGAAAGGCCTTCTCCTAACCTCCATGAAGTTATTAGACCTGTCTGTATAACTTAAAAGAGCTAGTCTTGTGTGAGGCAGTTAAGCATGGGTTAAGTCAGTAACTCCAGCTTGAATAAAAATGTCCTACCCTTGTTCTTCTAAATATCTGTAAGACACTCATTTCAAGGTGCTTAAAAAGGGTAAGTAAGTTTCTAAAGAGTGGGACATGACAAATAGGTCTGTAGGGACAGAAGAAAGAAAAGCACTTAGGAAGACAGAAGAGCTGATGAAGATCTCAATTTCTCTGTTCAGAAACCAACATTTCAAGAGGGGTTTGATCTTAAATAGTTTTGAATTAGATTTTATTTCTGATTAGATTTTATTTCTGATTAATCTGTTCCTTGATATCACTGCCTGGCAAAAAGAAGTCTGTTAATTCTTTCAAGTGGCACTACAAAATAAACATTTCCATTTGATTCGAAGGAGTTAAACAGTATGGTCACACTTGAAGACACTATATTAAAGTGCTGACAGATGTCCAGGTCCACTTTCCTCCATAATTAAAGAACTACTTGAATAAAACCTGAAAGGTTGTTGCCAGATCTCTTCTTTCAACCTTCTTTCATTACATTTGAGGTTCAGATTCTCTATAAACCTTGGCAGAAACTTGAGAATCACAGTTAAATCCAGACTATATTTGACAAATAAGAAAGCATGGCTGACACTCGTGGCCAAGTGCACATGGAGTTTTATGACTTTTTGCAATGGAGACTTCAGTCATCCTTTGTGGTGGTCTTTGAAAATTAGCTTCTTTTCCCCTTTCATCTTCAGCATTAAGGTATATGTAATACTTGTACAGAAGTTAAATATTGCTGTTGTTATTATTCCTAAACAGAAAGTTGAAGTGTTGCATCCAAAGCTTTCATCAAAAATATTCTGTTTTCCATTCATCTGGTTGTTGCTCAAATATGAAAACCTTTTGCTATATTTATTTTAAAAGCTCATTTTTGAAGTAAAATCTCAGTCACTTTGTTGTGGATGCTCATTCTAGCAATTCAGCCAGTCTCATGTTCTTTGTACGTGACCACATTTCACAAGATTCCACAGAAACACCTATCTCCTCTACTGTGATCAGAATCCATCACGCTTTTTCTGCCGTATGACCTTGTAGCAAGGTTTTATCAACCAGAGCTCTGTTGTTTTATGCCTATTATTTCATATGAAATCCCTGACTGAGTCTTAGTGACCCTTGCCTCTTGTTCCAGCTCTGTCAGGAGTAGGACTTGCTTTTCTCTGGAGTTCAGCCCTGCTAGAATTTGCACTTCTCCCTGGACTTTAAAGTGCTCCTAGCATTGGCAGAGGTGGGTCTGGGGAATTATTTCTAAGCAGGTAGTATACTGTATATTAAATTAGCTACTACATATTAAATTTTTGCAATAAGTGGAAGGTATGCTTCTTTTGGCAAATGTGGATTAGGTGCATAATATGCTCTCTGTTCCCTGTGGGGAAGAGATGATGTGACATCCCTGGAAGGCAAGGCAACAATCACCGAAACCAGATAGAAGACTTGTCCTACGTGCTGAAGAGAAGGGCTTCTAAATTGCTTTGTTAGTGCTAGGATGTGGAACAGACGGAG